GTTTTTCTGCATTTTTTTATTTTTTTATGAATTTTCAGATTTTCGTCCTGAGTATCAGCATCCTGAGCTTTCTCACAGTCAAGTTGTGGGCGCTGGAGGAGTTCAAACTGCGACTGCAGCGCTTGAAGCTGTCACCAAAAAAGACTCACCATGCTGTGCATGCTCAGCAGTGTAATTGAATGGAAGAAAACAATTACTTTGGTGTTTTGCAGCTCTATTTCGTTCCCTGACGGTAACCAAATCTAGATGTAGGAATCTGTTGAGCAGGAGAGTGACACATGTCTTCCCGAAGGCTGTCCAGCCTGCAGACGACAACTTTCACACCAAGGTTCAACTCGAGTGACAGGACTGCACCCAAAAAAGGTCAAACAGGCTAGTAAGTTGTACCCTGTAGGTACGGTGACCAGGTGACTGGCTTACGCAGGAGCACTTGACCACTTGTTCAACCCTGTTCGATTGGGAATAAAGGAGGAACGCTGCATCGCAGCCTTTTCGGACCAAAACCAGTCGACTCAGCGTCCAAAAGACTACAACAAACGGGCCAATCGCGGTCATCCGTGCTTTTATAAGAACGAAATGGCGCTTTAAGTGACATTTTGCATACAAATCCCCATCTAGTAGGGCGCAGTCACCCAGTTTCGGTGGAAGTGCGCGAGTTCGATTGGGATTCAAGTAGGAAGGGAGCGTCTCAGCTTCCTCGGACCACGACCATTCGACTCAGCGGCCCGAAGACTACAACTGGTGAAATTTTAATTTTTGCCTTAAAAGGGGAAGCCCTTTAAAGCACGGATGACCGCGATTGGCCCCAATAGACATCCTTAGCAAAAGTACGATAACGCTAACTTTTACGGTACTCACTCCCAGCCGTGACAAAAGACGTTATCTGATAACGGAAAAACGTTACAGAGCTCAAAATAACGGGCCGACGTTCGTTATGGAAATTCTGCAAAAAATGCAAAAACTCGCATTGTTTTGTAACTGGCGGGAGATAAAAAGCACGTCGTGCAGATCGAGATGAGATCGAGAGTCGAGATTGCTTCCTCTTGTGACATTTAGCTTTTTTGGCGAGTTTTGCCTTTCAGTTGACAATTTCTGCGTCCTCTGCTTCGTGCCTTTCTCCCTCTATCCCATCTGGGAAACAAAGGACCAGTTCCACGGCACTCCTGAGGAAGAAATTCATCGGCCTCTCCCAGACGTGCTGGAGCTGGAGAACCCTTACAGTCTTCGGTGCTGCGTTTAGGAAAGGGTTTCCAAGGACCTGGGAACAGCGAAAACTCATTTTCGCCGTGCTTTTGCTATTCCAGAGTGAAAGAGCTCGCCAAGGTATTCTTTCGGAACGACAGCAAACTAATCCCTGGTTCAAAATTTTGAATTTCCCGCACCTGTTTCCACGAAAATTCATATCGCCATGGTTGTCACGACTACTTCGTCTCAACTATAACGTACTTTGTGCTTAGGGCCTATCCACACTATGTAATAAAAACGGCGTGTCGTTTCAGAGTACGTGACGTACACGCGATGCTCTGTTACACTGCAGTCTGGCGTAACTACGTCGTGTAGATCTACCTGTTCTCTAGATGCCGCGATTGCACAAGGTTTGTAGCGCGTAGACCAGGAAAGGACTCCCTGGCTTGGTCTAGACCTACCCAGATAGTTACAAAACAAGTGGCAGCCCAGCGATGGCAGCACTGACGCCGAGCTCAAGGAATATCACCCTAAACTCTGTTCCAGGTGCGGTAATTTGGCCACCGTGTGACTCTCGCGGCAGCGCAGCGCCAAGGTCGAGGCCGGCTGTAGCATCGCTTGATGAACCAGTGTTGGTGGCCGCCGTGTATTTCCAGTAAAAGTCCCTGGCTTTGGCCTTCATGTTGTCAATTTTGGTCACAACAGGGTTCTGCTTCCTCTCCAAACAATTCTTTCAAATCCGTACTCGATTTAATTTTCAGTGAATTCTCCGAGTCTCGCTACTACACCTTCCTCTTCATCAGACCCCGGGATTTCTCTCCATGTCCAGCCATGACTGTATCAATGTCGCCTCCGAGTGGTCGCTGAAACGGACATGTGGCAACTCCAAAGCGAAAACAAGCGGCCGCTGGAAACAACAAGAAAAAACTGCGATCCGCAAACTCCATCGACTTCCACACAACGAACACTGCGAAAACGGCACGTAGATGAGAAACGTGCTTTGTACAGGGGTCCGCGACTCACGTTCCGCGTGAATCCCACGTTCCCCGTTTTCGGCCATTTTTCGTCACTCACCTTGGCAACAAGCATGTTTACGGCGTGTTTACGTGGTTTTCTACGCGAAGGACTAAAGGGACGCTGGTCTAGGAGTGCGGCAGTTTTTGCGCGCCATGGCAACGAGGAGTGCGCGCACGCGAGAGCCACCAGCGCAAAGCGCTGCAGACTTGCGGCGGGACAGCGAGTGAGACACTTGGCCGTGACCCAGTACGAGTGCAGTCTTGACCAGGGAGCCCTACACATACCGGTATGTGTAGGGCTCCCTGGTCTTGAGCTACAGGAGGTAAAAAGTTACTCGATCGGATAGAGCGAAACTGAGCACCATGGGATGCGAGCAGCTGTTAGTACTCCCGACCAGGGAGCCCTACACATTGTGTAGGCACCTTGCTTGACAGCAAGGAACGCTTTTTTTTAGAAAGGAAGCTTCTTCTCCAAAATTTAAAAAAAAAATTAAAATTATTCCTTCTGAAACTTAGTCTTCCAGTACTACGTACTTTGCATCTGAGCATGAAAAATGGCCTAAAGGGCATGGGAGTTGATATTTCGGAGGACTTACTTGAACAACATCATGCTGCTGCGATCATGTTAGGATTCCTGAAGATGCACCAGACTGATTCTGGCAAGCCGTCTGTCGTCTGGATATGCACTGTTGTTCGTCATGGTCAGCAATCTTCTTCGTTCGTCCTTTCGTTTTCGTTTTCCGCCGAATATTTTCAGGAGTGCATCAGCACGAGGGAAAATATGAGGGACACGATATACACAGAGTACGAATGGTATACACTGTAATCCATTTATCCCATGTACTGTCCCAAATAGAGCGTGACCAGCACTAAAATCTCCCTTATTGGCGTGACCCGGAGAATATTCGTGACCCCAGCGGGATATATTGGTGACCCAGTGACCCCAGCTCAGAACGGTCGCTGATTGGCTGAAATGGCCCAAATCGTTTCGTACCATGGGATAACTTCAGTAAAAGCAGACCACCACCATGCTTGTGATACCAGGGTGGCAGATTCAGCGCCTAACTGCGAGGGTGAGGTGGTAACTCTCACAACCAATGCCTCCGCAGATAAGTACTAGTGCATGTAACTCAGCTTTCAGTATCGACGGAAGACTATTCACCATATTCCCTGTATCAACATCTGAAGCCACCGGTGTGTTTTTGCGAGTCTCCTTACGCCACGATGGCAAATGAAACGACTGTAGTCGATGGACAGGAGGCGCTGGAAGAGCTATTGAAAGTCCTCCTACCTCGCAGCAACTTCATTGTAAGGACTACCGCAAAGCCTTTTTCACACAGGTAAGTTTACGCTAGCCCGAGAGCTACGCACTAGGACATAGGGCTTGAAAGTGCTACGTCACAGCATAGCAACAATTTCAAAAATTCAACAACTGGATCCACTTGGATCCAGTTTTTGTATGGATCCAAGCACATTTCAAGCGGTCTTACCCACAGCATGGTGATGTAGCCAGTGAAACTGACTGATTTGGCTACTGGGGGCGGGGTTACAACTGGTGGCGAAATAAAAGTCACACCTGCATGCGTCATGAGTTGGTTGCTATGCACCCACATACTTAGACAATAGCAATAGCAAAGTCACACCTTAGTGGATCCAAAAATACACAACAGAACAACAAGGACAATCAAGGCTTGTTTGCTGCTACTTTAAGTTTCATGCTTACGCAATCATCAGGCAACATGAAGATCGGGTGCCGACCATGCCGGTATATATGCCAGGAGAGGGTGGTATAAAAAGCTGTGTGAGACTGTGGGGGCTAGCGCAGTAGCGGTGATGTTTTAGGCAGGGGGCTGTGTGCAGAGTGTGTGGTTGTTGAAGGCAGGGGCTAGCAGTGCAGTGTGAGCGCGAAGCCTGTGTGGCTGGCGTGGGCAGGAGGTGGTGAACAATGCGTGTGGATGTTGTAGGCAGGAGGCTGTAGAGCTAGCAGTGTGATAATAGCGCAATGTAAATGGATATGTCGAAAAAACCGGAAAAGCCCTGCAACTGCCGAGACAAGCCATCTTGTCCACTCAACGGTGAATGCCAAACGACGGATCTGATATATGTGGCATCCATAACGTCAGGCCCCACCAAAAAGGAATACACCGGTATGTCGGCGCCACCATTCAAGTCACGCCATGCCAACCACATGACTACAACAAGATACGAGAAGTACTCCAGCTGCACTGAGTTCTCCAACTACATCTGGAAGCTGAAGAAATCCAACGCCCAATACGAAGTCGAATGGAGGATAAAAGATCGCGCCCGGGCATACTCCAACATCACGAAGCGGTGTTCCCTCTGTACCAGAGAAAAGTATCACATCCTGAACACGCTAAGGTCACCGTCCAGCCTCAACAAGCGCTCCGAAATGGTGTCCAAGTGCCGACACGAGAACAAGTATCTCCTAAAAAACCACGGTGTCACCTAAACATGTCTCCACAGCCTCCTGCCCACACCATTCACGTTCACACACCTTGCTCGTAACACCCTGCCCACACCAGACATATCCATGTACTTGTGTGAAAAGATCGAAGAACAACGCCTATCGAAAGGCGTGTGTTGTATGAGTGTCTACAGAGATGTTATTAGCAGTTAGAAACTGGATAGAAGGGGCGTTCTCTATCACTTCGAGGCCTTGTTGTTGTGGATTGCCGAGAGCGGATTCGGTGGATCTGGTGATCCTCTAAAACAATAACTCGTATCCACATTTCCTCCTCCTTTCTACACCATTGGTGTAACCTAACATTCTCCTCCTCTGCAGGTTAAGTTTTGGACTGAGTCACCGAACCCGCCTGCGATTATGCACTTTCGCCCATATGTGCCCGCGTCCCCAGTTCTATCATCCGATCCGGTCCAGATGAGTGATGAACTGACTTTGGACGGAAATGAAGCACCCTCTGGTGGAAGGTATGTGACAGTTTCTATTTGCAAATACAGGCACACATACACACACACATACAATTAAGCCTGATGTCAGTTATGGTCTGCTATGAACATAGCCCTATTTTGTGTCCTATTTCTGACAAATGTTCCTCTTTTTTCCACCATTAACCGAATTTCATACAGGTTTCAAGGCAGCGGTGGCGGAGATGATGAGCCATTGATTGATCCGGTGCCAGCTTCCTCTCGCCTCCTGGTGATACATCAGGAAAAGTGGCAGCAAGAGCTACTGATTAAGTATGGAGAGTTGGTGCTGATGGACGCCACATACCGCACCACCTGCTACGACCTGGCATTGTTCTTCCTGGTCGTCCATACCAATTCAGGTTATGTGGTTGTTGGTGGTAAGTCCTAAGTGGAACACATTATTTTTTTGTAAACACAGAATTGATACTTTCCATTGGATAGATTATTGACCGAACAGTTTACGTTTTGGGGTTACCACAACTTGCCAATTGTTAATGTAATGAGAGAGCTGCCAGCTCAGGGCCCTCGCTCTGCTCTTCTTTACGTATGTCATCTTACTCACAGTGTGAGTCTGTGGGTTCTCCTCGTATGTGCGCAGGGTAGAGCCATCTTATACGGGTTATGTTTGCTAAGTCTGTAAGTCGCTAGTTCAAGTTTAGTGCTGTGCCATGAGTCCACGACTTTCCCAACAGATGTGAAGTGATGATGTAATCACATAATCTCTCTAACAAGGAAACTTCATCCTTTTTCCTGTTCATTGTACCTGTAGAGTTTTGTGTGCAGTCGGAGAAAAATGCTGAAATTGCAGAAGCGCTCACTATCATCAAAGAAAACACACCATTGTTGCACCCCAAGTTCTTTATGACAGATTATTCTGAAGCTGAGATGCTCGCCATCGAAAAGGTAAAGAGAAGAAGCTTTAAGATTTGTTTTTACTTACCGTATTTTTCCGGTTGTAAGTCGACCTTTTACGACTTAAAATAGAAGGAGAAAGGGTGGGGGTCGACTTACAACCGGGATTCGACTTATAACCGGGAACTATCAGAATCTTACAAAAAAATGACCTGCACTGCATGCACGAGTGCACTATGTGTACACATTTTTCCAGTTTATTGGTCTTTTGAAGGATTGGGATGTTATAACCTCAATTAAGGAATGTTTACATGATTTGTTGATGTGTTAATAGCAGGAAGTGGTTAATAGTGCTTCTTTGGGTGAAAACTTTAAATCGCAGAATTGAGACCTCCGGATACGGGGGTCGACCTATAACCGGGGTCGACTTACAACCGGTAAAATACGGTATATGAATTTCATTTTCAGCAGCTCGGATGAAAGATACATTCTGCATAATTATATATACAAGTAAATATATTCAATCTGCGGACAGAACTGTTTCGTCCTTTGTGGACTCATCAGCGCAGCACAGAGGAAATGAGGCCGAAATATTAAATACCCAATGCTATGCTGTACGTGTGTGTGTGTGTGTACAGTTTACTCATGGGGGGAGAGATTGCGGAGCAGAAAATTTTGGAAATTTAGAGTCCAGATCAGTGTATTTTATTGATTCACGGGTAACTGGGGCAACAGGTGGTACGGTCAATACCATAGTGACCGTACCGTGTCCAACGCCCCTGGTGTTCATGCATGTGCACTGTGTGTGCCGTGAGGTAGTTTGGCTGTTGCCATCAGGCTCAGGAGCTTGTAGGTGTGTTGTTGTACCTGGCTGTTGGTTTCAGGGTTCATACACACATACATTCTATTAAAAATACACACCTGTTGACCAATAAGCTACTTCTGATCTGTGTGTGTGTGTGTGTGTGTGTGTATGTGTATGTGTGTGTATGTGTATGTGTGTATGGTGTGTATGGTGTGTATGGTGTGTGTACATGTGCATATGTGCATATGTGCATATGTGGTTGGATATATGCTGGTATATTCAACAATTCAGGTGTTCCCTGAAGCAAGGATATATCTGTGTGACTTCCATCGTGAGCAAGCCTGGCAACGCTGGACGAAGAACCGGAACCATGGTCTTAACGATGATGAGGCATCGGCACTCCTGGCGGCTTTGCGCAGCCTTGCTTATGCTCCACCATGCCGAGATGAGGGACAAGTTCCTGATAAGTAAGGGTTCAAGGATCATGTCCGCTGTAGTATTTCTCTGTAGCTTGTATCCCTTATCGCCGCACTAATCATTCACCTGTTGATACGTGGAAAACTGGAAATACCTTGCGACTTGTGTGCATTGTCATACTGTCCTTTAGGCACTATCGTGAGGCAGAGTCAAAATTGCAGGCTCTGGATGTCTTTAGAAGCAATAAGCAAGTGAGAAACTGGCTGAATGGAAAATGGCTCTCAATCCCAGAGGTAAGTTTGTGGTGATTAATCCTGAGGGTCGTGTAAACTTCCACAGTGTACATACATGTAGCCATAGAAGTCAGGATTGTCGGATACCACTCTGAGTTCACGCTGAGCAATCATCAGGCAGCATAATAACGTGGAACAGGGAAATAAGCCCTAGCATGTATTGTGATTTTGTAAGATCAGTCAGTGGTTAGTAATGCGGGCATGGTGGGCAGTGATTAAGTAGTGAATGGCAGTATAGCGATGTAGTGCGACACAAAGAAAACTGTGGGAAATAAAATCAAGCTACAGTACGTGTTTTGGATGTTGTGTGATGTTCTGTTCTCTTTTGCAGCGGTGGGCGAGGGCGTGGACTGCGCGAGACTATCAGCACAATGTATTTACGAACAATGGAGTTGAAGCGCAGAACAAGGTAACCTTTGATGCACTAGTTCTAAATGTCAATGCTAGTATCACTCATAGAGTACCGATTTTGCTTAAGCACAGATACTAAAGAGGATATAGCGCTGTGCCATGGCATTGGTGAGCAGGTAGAATAATAATTTTAAAAGTCCAGTATTCGAAGTAGAAATAAGGCTGTGTTTACATGAGAAATTTCAACCCGGGTCGAGTTCACCCCGGGTTGAAATTCTGTACGATAGACAAGTGAGGTGAGCGTTTACATGAAGAGAGTTGACCCGGGTCAAATACTGATATGCCGCCAAAAGTCCACTTCTAGAGTCCTGTATGGTCACGTGAATCCGTTCCCGCGAAATTTGCATTTGCAGTGCTGTTCAAACCTGGCGCGAGATTATTATTATTTATTAAATTTTTAATTGGGCATTCCCACAGGCCTAAGGCGTTCTTACGGGGTACCCTAACCCTGAGATACGCACAAAGTATGTTTGTACGATTTTCTTGACCCGGGTTGATTTATCAACCCGGGGCGAAATTTCAACCCGGGTCAAGCGCAATGCGTCATGTAAACGCGCCATTCATTTTGTGCACATGGCGGGTTGAAATCTGACCCGGGTTGAAACGCCTCATGTAAACACAGCCTAAGTCCAAATGACTTCCCTGACTTCCAGAGGAAGTTTACGTTATACAGTGGTCCCTCTATAATCCGGCACCATTTGTGCCACGAAAATCTGCTGGATTAGGGAGGGTGCTGGATTAACAAATCTGATTTACTGCTGCAATGTGCATGAAGAGGACATTTTGGCTACTGAAAATCGTGCTGGTTTATCGAGGGTGCTGGATTATAAAGTGCCGGATTAGAGAGGGACGACTGTAACATTGGTCTTAGACAGGTTCCATTTCTGAAATGCAGCATGTGTCTCATTTGATTTGGTTAATTAAGGTTCTCAAGTACTAATTCCTCAACACCAGCAACGGGAAGAAGAGGACGCTGAGCGAGACTTTCACCATTATCGTTGAAAGGTTTCTGGAAGAGCAAAAGCGGAAGTTCGTGGTGAAGAATGTCAGCCAGCTGAGCTCTTTTCGAAGGTAACTTTTAAAAATGTGGTGGGAAAGCGAAGAACCAGGCTTCACTTCATTGTTCACTGTTTCTAAAAACTTCAATATGGTGTGGAGTGGAACAACCTAACAATAACAATAACATAAATCACCTGGTCACCGCGCCAGCAGGCGACAACTTTCACACCAAGGTTCAACTCGAGTGACAGGACTGCGCCCAAAAAAGGTCAAACAGGCTAGTAAGTTGTACCCTGCAGGCACGGTGACCAGGTGACTGGTGTACGCAGGAGCACGTGGCCGCTTGTTCAACCATGTTCGATTGGGAATAAAGGAGGAACGCTGCATCGCAGCCTTTTCGGACCAAAACCAGTCGACTCAGCGTCCAAAAGACTACAACATATGGGCCAATGGCGGTCATCCGTGCTTTTATAAGAACGAAACGGCGCTTTTAGTGACATTTTGCATACAAATCCCCATCTAGTAGGGCGCAGTCACCCAGTTTCGGTGGAAGTATGCGAGTTCGATTGGGAATAAAGGAGGGAGCATCTCAGCTTCCTCGGACCAAGACCATTCGACTCAGCACCCCGAAGACTACAACTGGTGAAATTTGATTTTAGGGTATACTTTCCCATTAACATTGTATTAATAGAGTATACCTGAACTTGCGAAGGGAGGAACTGCTCAGGCTAGCTCATGCTGCTCTTAAAACCGAGTTTGGGTTAGTGGTGTTGTTGTTTATTTATTTTACATCGCAAGGCAAACGGGCAGTTCTGCCCAATATTATGGATGCGATGACCCTGTGTGTGTGACTTTGATACATGGATAAAGTGGGAGAAAACACTGGACACATTGGGGCACAGGTTATGTGTTGAAATACACCAAAAACCAGACCTTTCATTAATTAACCTTTAACAGTCACAATTCACTGGTAGCTCAAAGCTGACTGTGAGCTCCCGGCTCCGTGTTTCCTAACGTTCCCTCTGAACATGTCCTTGGCTCACCATCTCAGTTCATACTTGTAGAAAAAGTGTGCTTTCCCCTGGTTTCCTGCACAGTTTCATCATTTACATTGGCCGCACAGCTCCAAGCCAAGCGCCAACTCCAGGATCTACTCAATGTTGCTATCCCTGACCCAGCACTGGAGGCAAGTAACATCAGACGTGGACGACCTGCGGTAGAAAAAATCTCCGATGTCGTGTTGGAGTATCCGGAGACACTGAACGCAGACAATTCGTCCAGGCACGACAGCGTGACCAAGGTACCTGGCCTAGATGTAGTCCCTCTGTACATTCATTTAGCTCTATGGGGTACATGCGAGCTGTTATTATTATAGATAATCTGAAGTACATTTGTGCCAAGTTACTGTCAAGTGCATGTGTATTTTTACCAGCTTCATTGTTTATTGCTCTTGTGTAATGCAGCCTCAAGAAGACCTGGGTCGACCCATCTGATCATCTCTTCAAGACCAGACTCAGAACAACTAGCTCCGAATAATGAACGTATGTGAGGTTTAAATCTTTTTTTTATATAGGTCTAAGATACTAGCTCGCTGCGATCGAAGGTCCAATCTACTCACTTCCAGGTATTAGGCACTTCGGTCGCCGTAATTCTTCTTAGTGGACATATGAAACATCCTCCTTTGTGATGGCTGATGGGTATCAATATTTAAGTTATCTCCAGCTGCACAACAGTCTGGGACCAGCACAGGAGCACGTCACACCTTCCTTTCCTAGGGGAACTGCATGGCCGCATTGCTTCCTGCTCAGTATACAGTGTTTTCTGAAATTCACAACTCTAAAGTTTGCGTTCCTGAATACTCCAGCAATACTGCAATACTAAATACTGCTGAATACTCCAGCTCTAAGTTAGTATTGCGGAATACTCCTGCGAAAAAGTGAATGCGGAATGCGCTACCCTGCCACAGCCGCCAAGGGTCAACAACTGTTGCTATTATATCCTCTACAGCTGCACCTCAACGACAAATGACCATCACCAGCAGCAGCAGCAGCAGCAGCAGCACTGTACTCCTTCAGCCTTCACAGTCAGCTTCAGGTATGGCCATAGTTATTACTATGTGAATTGTTAGAAAAACTATTGTTAGAAAACGCCTACCATAATATCAAGAATACTCTTATGTACTCTTGATAATATACGTATGATGCTTTAATATCTAACATCTTGTCAGATAATACGTTCTGCCTTTTAAATAGGATGTTGGCGAGATAATAGTCAATATTGGCCAATTTTTGTCTTTTTTCTAGCATATGGCCACTGTTCATTGTCCATACTGACGTGTGTGTGTGTGTGTGTGTATTGTGGTTGATCGAATGTTGCAGCTTCGAATCGACAAATGTGCTGTAACCCTGAATGCGGGTATCCGGAGCTACCGCTAAAGCCATGCCGCAACAACAATTGTGGCCATTACTTCCATCACCTGTGCACGTTACACGACATGGGAACATATTGCAAGCACTGCCATTTCAGAGCGTGGTGAAGTTTTCCGTGACCCTGCTTTTATTATGCCTTTATATACTCATTCTTAAACCTGTCCCTCCAGGAACTTGCGATTCCGCGGCCGCGTTGTTTTCCGCGATTTGAACAAAAGTCCGTGATATCCGCGATATTTGAAAAATCATCCGCGTTATTGTAGAAAACTGTCCTTGATACTTGAAAAGCACCGCGATATTTCGAAAAGCAACCGCGATATTCGGGTCTTTCTTCGATGTTGTTTAGTTCTTCAAGCTCATCAGTAGTTTACTTGTGAGATCGACACCAGAATGTCGAAGTTTCTGGGCAAATCAGCGGCTGACAAGTCACAAAATAAGGCTCGCGTCGAGTGTTGTCCGAGGATGGTGGAAAGCTGTCTTGCAGTTGAACACAGTCAGCGCAACACACGTACGTTCTGTTTTGTCATGCATGATTTATGCTGTACGATCCGTACATCGTACAGCACTACAGTACAAGTACCAAAATCGGCCGCAATTTCCGCATTTTTACCACAATAATCCCGCAATATTTGACAAAATCCGCAATATTCCCCGCAATTTGTGGCATTTTACCTCGCAACTTTTTCCGCGATATTTCCGAAATGTCTCCGCAAGTTTCTGGAGGGACAGTTAAACGCTTGCACATACACTGAATGTGTCCACTGCAAGCAAACTTGCACCAGAAACTGTTTTGGCCTTTGCACCCGAGCTGCTTGTAAATTTGCAGCAATTACGTACCAGTCTTGAAAGAGAGGAATGTTGCTGTGTTGGAGCTAGGACTACTATAGCTGGATTTAGTTTCCTAAGTTTTTAGTAAGTTTTTACTATGTATTTACTATGTATTAGTTTTGCTCAACTCAGCTACCCACCACGTTGTCGTATAATTATACCGCATTTCCTCGATTAATAGACCCGGTCTTTTGTTTTTTGAAGAGGGTTGGACCCCCGGTCTCTTATTTGGGCATGGCCCATTATTTGAGCACGGTCCACTATATTTTCATCGGCACATCGCTGGAAATGGTGGATTTTTAACACGTCATACTATAGAAGTTCTATAGTATGACGTGTTAAAAATCCACCATTTCCAGCGATGTGCCGATGAAAATATAGTGGACCGTGCTCAAATAATGACTTCTATATTACAAATAATGAAAGAAAGCACTAGCCACTACAAAATTGTAGTTGCGCAACCTAAAATCGTGTCCTTTTTTGATCCACCACGTGCTTTCTTAGTGCGCATGCGCAAAGCGATAAACTCAAATAAGAGACCGGGTCTCTTATTCGGGCATGGTCTACTATTTGAGTATGGTCTATTATTCGAGCATGGTCCATTAATCGAGGAAATACGGCATGAATGAACATGGTGAGAGTTTAATTTTAGTTCAATTTTCCTCAACACGGTCAGCAATGAGAGAGAGGAGAGGGGGGTGGGGGGGGGGGGGGGGGGCACACTTGCGGTGCTAATTGACTAGTACTGGTAAGCCCTCAATGTGCAGTTTCTGGAAGTGGCTGTTGCCGTTTGGATGCTGCACACAAACAATTCCAGCCATGAATTCTGCACTGACGCAATGGAAGACTTGAGCTTGGGATAGGCAGTGACATGTTCATAATGCAAATAAAATGATGTCCTATTCCACTGGTGAATACGCACGTCGCACTCTGTTCTGATCTTCTTGATGCGGCTCAACTGCTACGGACTCATTCATAATGCAAATAGATGATGTCCTATTCCACTGGTGAATATCCACGTCGCACTCTGTTCTGATCTTCTTGATGCGGCTCAACTGCTACGGACTCAGTTCTAGTACAAGCACAGCCCAGTGGGTGACATTGCATGCAAGTAGATCAGCACATCTAGTACGATTGTTCTTCCACTTCAAGAATCGTCCCTTCGTTTCACAGCACAGAATAGCTGTCTCTCAGCTGGTAATCAGCAGGGACATTCTCTACTTGCGAAGACTGAGTGATTGCCAGCACTCGCCCATTCCTTCCACAAGCGATGTATAGATATCACTGTTCGAGTATTTTTCTTTCAAATCTGAGACCATTGACAGGATCGGAAGGAGAGCTCTACTGCAAGCCAGAAGTCAGGCTGGCGTCAGGCTGTCGTGAAAAGTAACGAATTCAAACCGCTCCTCAACAAAATCATTATCAATCCAAGTAGAGTGACTTTCAGGAACTAATCCATCGTCTTGTTCATTCAGCAAGCATCGCTTTCCTATGTTTTTCGCTTTCTCCAGAAAAAGATGCGCGAAAAAAATAGAGTCTACTGCAAGTACTCGTGCTGCACTGTACGAACTACTACCTGGGTCACGGCGAAGTGTCTCATTCGCTCTCCCTGCCGGCGTTCCGCAGCCTACAACGCTTTGCGCTGGTGGCTGTCGAGTCGCGTGCGCGCACTCCTCGTTGCCATGGCGCAAAAACTGCCGCACTCCTAGACCAGCGTCCCTTTAGTCCTTCGCGTTTTCTACCTAGTCTGGACAGGCCCTTAGAAGGGAAAAGTCAGCTTGAACGACCCGAAGTACGGAAAGGTTTGCGTTTACGTTAGCGTTTTTTTTAGCTAAGGATATCTAATGTTGTAGTCTTTTGGACGCTGAGTCGACTGGTTTTGGTCCGAAAAGGCTGCGATGCAGCGTTCCTCCTTTATTCCCAATCGAACATGGTTGAACAAGTGGTCACGTGCTCCTGGGTGCCCAAATCACCTGGTCACCACGCCAGCAGGCGACAACTTTCACACCAAGGTTCAACTCGAGTTCAACTCGAGTGACAGGACTGCACCCAAAAAAGGTCAAACAGGCTAGTAAGTATTAGTTGTACCCTGCAGGCACGGTGACCAGGTGACTGGTGTACGCAGGAGCACGTGACCGCTTGTTCAGCCATGTTCGATTGGGAATAAAGGAGGAACGCTGCATCGCAGCCTTTTCGGACCAAAACCAGTCGACTCAGCGTCCAAAAGACTACAACATATGGGCCAATCGTGGTCATCCGTGTTTTTATAAGAACGAAATGGCGCTTTTAGTGACATTTTGCATACAAATCCCCATCTAGTAGGGCGCAGTCACCCAGTTTCGGTGGAAGTGCGCGAGTTCGATTGGGATTCAAGTAGGAAGGGAGCGTCTCAGCTTTCTCGGACCAAGACCAAGACGAGTGCACGTGACGCACGTCACGCGGCCTTCAAAACCGAAAGATTACGTATTTTTTTGTGAATGTAGAAAAATGCTTTTGTTTTCGCTGTTTGTTTTTCTGTTTGTTGATTGTTTTTGCTTTGAAAAGCAATCTGTCCAGCTACGCTGCAGATAATATTCATTGGACTCATTGAAACATTCCAAGTCGTACCCTCCGAATAAAATAGTGGCTCTCGTTTCTGCCTCACCCCCAAAACGCCTTTGAGATAATTTGAAAGAAATGATGCCTGTGTTACCGCTACTGGCAGCGCTAGCGATGACGATCCATCGGTATCGCTACCTTCCGCCGCCTTCTCAGCTCGCTCCGGTAGATCCGCCATGGGTCAGAGACGACGGATGATGTTTCAGAATTCACGCGAGGATACGTTGTTTGACTATACGATAGGCCGACTGCTGGGCGAAGAGGCACTGAGCAAGACCAAAGTGACCAAAGCGTTCTGCCAGTTGGCAGCCAATGTGTTTGTCGTGATTGTGGGCATCGTAGCGTTCGCACTGTATCAGGTGTTCTCCGCATTTCTGAGACCTCTCCTCTGGGCTGTGCTGTGCGGAGTATTCTTGTTCCCGATCAAGCATCGCAGCACGCACGTCCTGAACGCGAGGCTCGGGCTCATGCAGATTAACAACACACCACTGTGGCTGGGAATAATCGTGCTGCCGCTGCATTTCCTGGCCTGGCCTGGCCTGTCGTACGTCGCAGGATGTTTTGTATCGTCAGTGGAAGGCCATGGCGTGCATGGCGGGCCTGCTGACATGTGTTTACATTCTCAATCACTTGCCAGTGTTCGCTGCGCTGCAACGCTCTATTGAGGGTCTAGACACAGCATCCCACTTCATGGAGTTCATTAGAATTTACGGTTACATATATCTGGTGAGTGTGTTGTGATAATGCAATGGACTCTCTAGTTGAACTCGGATGGTGAGCCGATTAAATTATGGTGAAAAAGGAGAAGGACAAAATGTTACGAGTTATGACCGTATGGCTGACTGTATAAGATCTGGTTACGTTAGTGGACAGTTAGTCATAACTCGGAACATTTTGACTCTCTAGTTACCGTATATTTACGGAGTATAAGCCGCACTTTGAACACTCAAATTCACCTCCCCCCCCCCCCCCCAAAAAAATAGGGGGGACTTATACTCCGATGATCAATTTAACGGTGATAAATAAGGTAGACATCTGTATTGTGTGCCCAAAACAATGGGGGTGCCGCTTATTCTCCCGTGCGGCATATATTCCTGAAAATACGGTATTCAGTTGTTTACTCACAGTCGGTGACTAAATACATCACAACAAATCAGTAACCCTCCCCCCCCCTCCCCCCCCCCCCCCGGGCTTTCTCGCCATCACACTAACCAGCTACGTCAATAGAGAAGCAATTGTCGTTCAACGTATTCATTGCAGCACAATGTTCATGCTGGTGTGCTCCAAGGCAGGTGTAGACGGTCATTGCGGGCTACGCGGTGCTCATCGTCTTCTTCTGGTCGGGCCGGACGCGGCACGTGATGCGTCACCTGTCCTCCATCGTCTGGTTCACCTTTCTGCTCTACCTTGCTACTCTGGTGCCATCGTATCGACTCTCACTCATCATCCTTGTGACATCGTTGTGTCTTCTGGGTGCACTAGCTGGACAGCTTTGAGATAAGTAATTTCATTGCTGCTTGTATTCTTATACAGTCGGGGCCAAAGAAATCTGACCCACGAGTCGAAAGTATCGTCAAGTTTCCTATTCAATTTTATCGTACACGGTCCAATAAGCCTATGCGAGGGCTGCAGCAGTCGCATGAGCCTTGGTACTGCTTTCGGCATGTGGGTCAGATTTATTGGGCCACGGCTGCACCTGTGTCCTTCACTTTGTCTCATCTATTTCTCTAGGTTTCGTTCTGCTGATGAGCCATGGTTGAATAGTATAGCGGTAGCGACACACCTGGTTAAATGACGGTCTGCACATGCCAGGCACACCCAGGCTGTCTAGGCTGCATACTGCATAGGTACACCCTGGTTAAGTTGTACTCTGTGAAATCTGACCCAAAGGGTATATTTCGCGTCCTCAACTTGCACGGCCCTTGATGCCGTGGAAGTGGCCCGAATGCTGCTTGATGTGCACAATTTACATTGCACAATGATGTAATCAAAACTGGTCCAGGGCGACAGCTTTGCACGTTGGGTCGGATTTTACCGAACGCAACTGTATATCGGTTCGAATCTTGCGCCTTGTCAAGCACTGTCTTATGCGCCAGCTTGCTATGTCCGCGTTCACCCGCCATGCATCAACCAGGCGCGAACTGATGGCGGTGATTGTGAGAAGAAGACTCTTTATGCCGGAGTGTAACTTTTCAGCTTAGAGAGGTGTTTGCGGTTGGCGTGTGTTTATCGTCATAATGCAGGGTGTGCATTTAGTCTTTTCGCCTACATCTTATCCAACAGCAAATACGGCTGCAGTGGAGTCTTCAAATTCCTTCTGGTGGTGGATCTTGCCAGACATTTTGCTGACATTGTACAACAATTATTTTTCTAAAGGAGGTACTATTTGTGAGACGGAAAGAGATAGAGATACAGAGACAAATACCGAGAGCAGCATAAGGACAGTATGAGAATGCGCTGGTGTTGGTGATGCGAATTCTTGATTTCCTTTAGTCTGGAATAGGTCAGTGAATCCCAATTTCCCGGAACCGACATCTAGTTAACCTTCTAGAGCATTGTTTCTGCTTGTGACAAATTGACTGCATTTGCCCCTTAGTCTCAATGTTTTATTCCATGTACCTATCTCCCCGTTTCTCGGCACTTGTGCCAATGGTTGTGAGACTTATCCACTCACCTCCACCGTCAGGCTCTGCGTCTGCCGCTAGGGTTTACCGGGTGTTAGCGGCCGTCGTGAGTTCCCTTCGGGAACGGACACGATAATTTACCTTTTTTCGTTTTTTATTTCCCCATTTTCCTTATCTCCGCAGAGCAGCATGATGATGAAGATCAAGATCAAGAGGAAGAACAGGCTTCCGAGTTGCTGCTGTCATCACTGTCGCATGACGAAACTGATACACGACCCGTGCCCCCATCCTCTCCAGGTACAGTACTTTGGAGCAAGCAGCTCTCTGTGTCAAAGTGTGGGTAGTGCTTGCAGTGCAATGTACATACGTGGCAGTGTGGAGCGAGTAGCCATTCGGTCGACCGCGTGTGGATAGTGCTCACGTGTGTATGCGTGTGTGCTGATGATGTAGTGAGCGCCTTCTTGAGCATGCATGTGTGCATAAACACCTACTTTAGATGAGGTTGCAGACATGTGGGTTGAACTCATGGAGTCGTAGCGTCTAGGGAGACCACACAGGCACCTGGAACCAGTGTCTGCTCTAGGATTGTAGGACAGCCGGGTACACGTGTACCTGGCGCAACCATTTCAACCGGGTCGGAGCCGGGTACACATGTACCTGGCGCTGTCTCACCAGCCGAGTCACATGCTTTAACTGGTTGGTTGGTTTATTTTAATTCGGACAATAAACGGGAACTAGGCCCAATGATATAAAGGCGAATGGCCGCATTTAGAAAAGAGAGGACAGGAATTAGAAAATTACGAAAAAAAGAAGAAGTATCTGACACATACAAGCAGGGAGTCGTCAAATATTTGACGACTCCCTGCATACAAGCCATGTAGTCAGTCCTTTCAAAGTTCGAAAGTGTAAAGTACCAACCGGGTCACAGGTGACCCGGTACTGTATTTTCAACCGGGTCCAAGCGCCGCCCAACCGGGTGGATTACCCGGCTCACCCGGCGCTAGAGCAGACACTGGGAACGTGAACTGATGTGGGTTTTGATTCTGGCCTGCCCATTACAGTCGCTCTTGGGCTAGGTCCGACTTGTGTGCCCATTTGTGTGCCCATGGCTTCGTTTGTATGTCTGGAATGCATTAGGGTTTAGTAGTTCAAATCCTGAATTGCGATTGCATGTTACATGCAGTATTGGTTACTTCTATGTCGTCTTCCTAGAATGTACGACTTCCTGTTTAACAAGTCTGTGAGCTGGGAGATTTGAAGGCATGAAATATGCATGGGTATTCACTCCATAACATTGTGTCCTGTTTCAATGACTGCGAATCCCCTTCTTTTCCAGTTAACTGTGTTTTTACTGTATAGCACATCACTGGCATGGGACATTGTGCAGATGTGATGCAGACGTGATGCAGACGTGATGCAGACGTGATGCAGACGTGATGCAGACGTGATGCAGACGTGATGCAGACGTGATGCAGACGTGATGCAGACGTGATGCAGACGTGATGCAGACGTGATGCAGACGTGATGCAGACGTGATGCAGACGTGATGCAGACGTGATGCAGACGTGATGCAGACGTGATGCAGACGTGATGCGTTACAGTTAGGGAGCAGTGCTGAGTGTGGTACTTTCATGTTGGTATGTCTTTGTGTGTGCGTACGTGTCTGTTTATGTGTTTGTATGTGTGTGTGCGTGCGTGTGTGTATGTGCGTGGGTGCACATGCACGCACAAATGTGTGTGTGTGTGTGTGTGTGTGTGTGTGTGTGTGTGTGTGTGTGTGTGTGTGTGTGTGTGTGTGTGTGTGTGTGTGTGTGTGTGTGTGAACAGGACGCGACTCTCCCACCAGCTACGAACTGCGTCGCTCGTGGAGCAACCGTGCCCATCGCAAGCGCAGTGTATTCCAGGAGTTCATTGGTCCTGAGTTGGAACACAGTGGTGGCTACTTTTACGCCGTTGTATGGTGCTGCCTTGCTCTCATTCTCTACAAGTTCCCGTGGCTGCTGTGCTTGCTGCTCATCCCTGCCACGTTGATTGTGGTACGACTCATCCTGGAGCGATTCAGCATTGTTGACACCACCCGCAAGCTGGTGAGTTGCGAATTAGTTAGCCGTGGTTGATCGCGACCCTTCATCTCGGAGACCCTCCCCCCCCCCCCCCCCGGCTTAGGCCAGGGCCTGTGGAGAGTCTGAATTTTCAAAGCGCACGTTTCGCCGCGGTCGTTCTCCATACTTTCAAATGGCAACCTACCCACAGCATACATCAAAATTTGCAGTGGGATCTCAACTGTCCAGCGCAACAAACCGCGAGCATATCGGAGCAAGGACGCCGCCGAACGGCGCGTCGAACCGTAACATACGTTACGGTTCCAGATGGGGCTGGTACACAAAGGGTTAAATACGAATACAAACAGAACAGATCACATTCTCACTTTTGGCAGTCTTTCGGCGAGCCAGGAGATGCTTTATAAGTAAATCAATTGTTGTGGGCTAGGGAGCACGCATTGAACAGTTAGCGTTGCGAGTAACGACAATCGATCTGGTAGTAGAAACCTGTTATTGTTCGTGAGGTTGAAGTATAGAGTCAAGTGGTTACTGGATCTGGAGAGGTTTTTATTGCCCTGTGAGCTTTCTTCTACCCAATACTGCAGTTATTTGTTTGCATATGAAACACGCAGACACCATTGTCTATGTAAGTATGCAGCCCTGTATTACTTTTCTCTACTCGGATTAGAAATTTGACACTGTGCTTTGAAAGCAAGAAACTGTCAACATAAAATGGTCTCTTTCATTGTGCTAAAATGCACTTACACGAGTCTTGTGTGTGTGGGGGGGTGTCTTGGTGGAGGGTGTAATGTTTGAATATTCCTACAGGTAGAGCTTGGGAATTATTGTTGTTATATACTTATTAAATACACATACATGTCAAACAAGTAACTGAGTTGCGCAATGTCTGCGGCCTTCATTTTAATCATAGCTCTATTAAAATTATTATCTCCTCGCAGATTATTCAATAGGCGAGGCGGCATTTGCAAGAGAGGTATGCGTGTATTTGTGTATTTGCGTGTGTGGGGAGGGGAGATGTGTTTGTGTGTGTGTGTGTGTGTGTGTGTGTGTTTGAGTGGGCATTAGGGCATTAGATCCCCCCCCCCCCTCCCAAGACATAGTCTCATGCTGTATTTCTGTGGCACATTTTGCAGCTTTCCAGACACCAGCAATTGATCGGTACATGGATACACTCGCGTCGAGATGCGCTCATGCCTCCACCAATGCGCGCTATCCTCAGATTTATCAGCCAAGCAGACAAGAAGGTATGTAAAATGCAGTGTCAATATTTTTATGGTATCAAATGATATTGCTTGATTGGCTTATGTTAAAGTCAATTAAGTTAAAGAATTTGGTTGCAGGTGTTGATCCACAAACTGATGCAGATGCAGATGCATGTGCAGATGCAGATGCATCTGCACATGCACATGCAGATGCATATGCAGATGCAGATGCAGATGCAGATGTAGGTGCAGATGCTGATGCAGATGCAGATGCAGGTGCAGATGTAGGTGCAGGTGCAGGTGCAGATGCAGGTGCAGATGCAGGTGCAGATGCAGGTGCAGATGCAGGTGCAGATGCAAATGCAGATGCAAATGCAGATGCAGGTGCAGATGCAAATGCAGATGCAGGTGCAGATGCAGGTGCAGATGCAGGTGCAGATGCAGATGCAGGTGCAGATGCAGGTGCAGATGCTGGTGCAGATGCAGGTCCTACAATTTGAGAGCAAAAATCAGTTGGAAGTCTGCTTTTAAGTGTTCTATGAACGAATTGTTCATATTGTATCTGCCTGTGTTTTCCATCACATGCTACTTCCACAGATTAGAATAGTCCTTCAGCAGTCACAATGTCTCTCTCTGTTTCTCTCTCTGTGTCTCTCTCTCTCTCTCTCTCTCTCTCTCTCTCTCTCTCTCTCTCTCTCTCTCTCTCTCTCTCTCTCTCTCTCTCTCTCTCTCTTGTATTGATGTGTGTCTGTCTGTCTCTCTCTTTCTCTCTATCTCTATCTATCTATCTATCTCTCTCTCTCTCTCTCTCTCTCTCTCTCTCTCTCTCTCTCTCTCTCTCTCTCTCTCTCTCTCTCTCTCTCTCTCTCTCTCTCTCTCCACTGCTGGTTTCTTCACTTTCCGCATCACTTGTTTTCAGATAGTCAGTGGTCTGCTGTCGACAACGGACAAGTTTGTGCCCTTGCTGTTGATCCTAGTGTTGTGTGTGACCACTCTCCTGATGGCATTCTTCTTGGCTGTTCAGGTACGGCTCACAGCCCAGCAGGGCAAGCCTCATGTAGTGAACGATTTTTCAAAGCGATTTACAACTTGATTGACTCATATCCCTTACTTCACAAAAGCTTCTCAAGTCGCGTATACCGTATAGCGTAACTTGTAGTTCCTTGGTCCTTTTCTGTTCTATAAGCTTCTTCAGTCACTTCCACTTTAGTCCGCATTCGGTACTCCAAAGTTAAGCACTGGCTAGAGATATGCATGAACTGTGTAAATCCGCCCAGCAATTCTGCTGTTATAGTAGTTTTTAGATAAGTGCATCTGGTTGCACACTAGCTGGAAGAATGAAGTATTGGCGAGGGATTTAAGATTGTAGAAAGGAGCAAGGCGACTGTAAGACCTGGCCACGCTGAAATGAATTGTAATGTTGAGTCTCCAATCGGAAGCATCAGAATGCGTTTACACGCAGACTTTAAGTCAAAGTCTGCGTGTTAAAGGGGAAGTTAAGGCAAAAATTAAAATTTCACCAGTTGTAGTCTTCGGGGTGCTGAGTCGAATGGTCTTGGTCCGAGAAAGCTGAGACGCTCCCTTCCTACTTGAATCCCAATCGAACTCGCGCACTTCCACCGAAACTGGGTGACTGCGCCCTACTAGATGGGGATTTGTATGCAAAATGTCACTAAAAGCGCCATTTCGTTCTTATAAAAGCACGGATGACCGCGATTGGCCCATATGTTGTAGTCTTTTGGACGCTGAGTCCACTGGTTTTGGTCCGAAAAGGCTGCGATGCAGCGTTCCTCCTTTATTCCCAATCCAACATGGTTGAAGAAGCGGTCACGTGCTCCTGGGTGCCCAAATCACCTGGTCACCACGCCAGCAGGCGACAACTTTCACACCAAGGTTCAACTCGAGTGACAGGACTGCACCCAAAAAAGGTCAAAACAGGCTGTAAGTTGTACCCTGCAGGCACGGTGACCAGCTGACTGGTGTACGCAGGAGCACGTGACCGCTTGTTCAACCATGTTCGATTGGGAATTAGGGGCGAACGCTGCATCGCAGCCTTTTCGGACCGAAACCAGTCGACTCAGCGTCCAAAAGACTACAACATATGGGCCAATCGCGGTCATCCGTGCTTTTATAAGAACGAAATGGCGCTTTTAGTGACATTTTGCATACAAATCCCCATCTCGTAGGGCGCAGTCACCCAGTTTCGGTGGAAGTGCGCGAGTTCGATTGGGATTCAAGTAGGAAGGGAGCGTCTCAGCTTTCTCGGACCAAGACCATTCGACTCAGCACCCCGAAGACTACAACAAGTGAAATTTTAATTTTTGCCTTAACTTCCCCTTTAATGGTGGCACTGTAGATGATTAGTTTGATTACATCACTGCCAAGCCTCTCAGAGAGCTGTCAGAGATAAATTTTCGGGGGCTGGATTAGCATCTCACATAGTCTTAACACTTCTGACATGGTTCTGCTTCGGTTCCTACCACTACATAGTTCTCCCTGCCCAGTTCCCCTACCCAGTTCCCCCTGCCCAGTTTTCGCTACTCAGTTTCCACTGAACTGTTTTATGTGCTCAGCATTCAGTTGCTCAGTTTGTTTTGTATTTGTTGCGGATGGTGATGGTGCGCAGGTACAAAGTGAGAGGGGCCACATCATTCAACAAAGCACCACTCTTGGACAGCACGTCATTGGGATGTATCCAGAGTTGAGAAGGTGAGCGGTACAGCAAGTTCCAGCTAGTGCCGGAATTGCTCTGCTTGAAATTGTGTTCAAAATATTGTCTTGTTCCCTGGCTGTGGGACTGTGTTGGTAGACTTGCCCAGGGATTTGTATGACCTGGAACAGTGCACAGTGTTACAAAGAGCCAGTCGGTGTGTGTTTGTGTGTGTGTGTGTTTGTGTGTGTATGTGTGAGTGTGTGTGTGTGTGTGTGTTTGTGCCAGCTAGTTTGGTCGGTGGGTACACTTTTGCCGGATAGTGTTGGGTCTGTTGCCAACAGGCTCGGCTGCTTGAAGGTGTAATGTTGTACCCACCACCTTCGTTGGTTCCAGGGTTCATATATTTCTATTTGAAGTATACATACCTGTTAACCATGGACTACTTCTGGCTAGATTAACTCTTGTGTAATCATGGTGCTAGTGAAGCTTGTATCAGATCCACTCTAATCTAGCCACCCACACTAGTAGCAAGTATTACCTTCACTAGGGGCAGAGGTAACTGCAGTTGGATCCCGGTACGGATACCCTGATGCCGTCAATCCTTTTTCTGCACCTTGTCCTCACCCACTTACTGAGGTGTGGTGAGCCCATAAGTGGGATCGTTTTCAAGTCCATCCAGAGTTTTGGGGATTTCAGAGGGTGTCGGCCGTTGGGCGGTTCAATAGCCAATTGAGTCATCTTTCCAAGATTCCTTTTGAGTCTCTCCCCTCTCCCGGGGAGACCCACGTGACCAGTTTTGGCAGTGAGCAACAAGTGTGTGTTTGTGTGTGTGTGTGTGTGTGCGTGTGTGTGTGTGTGTGTGTGTGTGTGTGCTTGTGGCGCACTGCATATTTTCTTTGCTGAAGTATGTGGCAGGGTGAAGGCAATGCCACGGGTATGTTACAAAGCATGAAGGAACAAGCACATCAGCAAGGTCGAAATTGGATACGCACCGGGGTAGGTATCGTTCCGTCTCCTCAATGAGGGACACTGGATTCCTTGGTGTGTGCGTGCGTGCGTGTGTGGGGAGGGAGGGAAGGTGTGGGGGTGGGGGTGGTGTGTATTCACATGTGTTTTGTTGGGGGGGGGGGGCATGGGCATCAGAAGCTATTATCGATTCGTGCAGCTTCTCCCAAAGGGTGTAATAAAAGGGGGACCTCCCTGTGTGGATTCTTGAAAAATCAAGCCAAATCGTGCCGTTTAAAAGGCCATTTGCCACCATTGCACTATGCGAAATGTTAGAAGAACTCAAAATATTTTTCACTATGTGGGTGGCCGAGGAGAAAAAACTCAACCAGTCTATTGGTACGGCTTGAGCCGAGCCAACTGGCCCGGCTTTGGTACCCATAAGGGGAGGGGATTGCGTGTATGTCCAGGTATTGTGCTGTTCAGGGTTTACCTGGTGTTAGCGGCGGTCGTGAGTTTCCTTCGGGAATGGACATGCTAGTTGGAGGGGGGGGGGGGGGCTGCGTGTATGTCCACGTATTGTGATGTTCACAGCAGCAGCACCTGTTTGTAGCCATATGCGTATAGCGCTCAAATTGACAGATTATGTTTGAATAACAGTGAAATTTGGCAGAGAACCATACAAACATTATAGCAGACACTTCCTTGAATTCTGCTCCATTTCTTTATCC